GGGGGGGGGGGGGGGGGGGGGAGAAGAAGTGCAACCAGCTCGCTGCAATTCGCAGGTCCAACTCCTCGAGCACCGAAAGCGCCTGATGTCACCCAAGGGCATGGAAGGAGTACCTGGCTGGGCAGACAGGGTGGGGGGCTGGGTTTTTCTGCTCAAGGCATATTTTTGGCAAGAAAATCATAGGGGTGGAAGTCACATCTGGAACGAAAGGAAAGTAGGCTGTGCAACTCGTACACATCAATCAGTTGCAGTAAGTTTTTCAGCCTGCTTAGTTGAGGGACACACAGCCCTCCACCTGAATTTTAGAAACCCCACATAACCCTCCGTGCCCAGATGTAAATTTCACCAGCCACTGTCTTTGTACTTGAAGGCTGCTTGCAAGATAGAAGCTTCCCCCTGCCCTGCCTTCAAAAAAAAAAAAAGCAAGATTTTTTAAAGCCCCCCCCAAGACATACCCAGAGCAGATGCTGCCAGCCCTTAGAGACAGAAGTCTCAAAACCCAAATTTGCACCTTTCCCCAAATCTGCAGCTGGCCCCCCCAGGAAGTCCGGGAAAGTCTCAGTCCGACACCTCCTCCCCCAGCCCCAGCCACTTCCCACACCAGGTAAACAAGGGTGCTCGTGGGAGGAGGACTGGCCCTGACCCCGGTGGAAGGGGGGAGCAACTCAGAGAAAGCAGGGGGGCTTTGGGCTCCACATCCACCACCTTTCTAGCAAGGGGCCCTTCAAGGGCCAGGGGCCAGCCAGAAAACCCCCAGCAAAAGGAAACCACTCAATGAGCCTGCACCCCAGCCCAGGAGATAAGCAAGCCCCCTGCAGTGGGAAGCCCGCGGGCTGAGTCTACCCTCCAGGACGGCCTTATCGAGGCCATTAAGGATGCATCTCCCCAAGATTCAGGGACCATCCCAGGGGCTAATTGGCTGAGGACAGGGGGAGGGGGCATGGAGTGGAAAATTACTCTGCCACATGCCAACCGAGCTTCCTTTCCCACTCCTGAAGACCTCACAGTAACACCCCGAGTGCTAAAATTAAAGCAGCAGCCTCAGAAAGCGGGAGGCGGAACTGCCAAGAGGGGCTCCGGGACTTTAGAGGCTCCGCCTGGCCTCCCAGAAGGCTCTGCCCAGCACTGGGCAGAGCCCAGAACTGGGGGTCTCAGCAAGGACAAAGAAGGCTGGGGGGCCGTGGGGGGAGCCCCATTTCCAGGCCCCCTTCCCAAGCAAAAGCAGAGGAACCACTGCAGTGCCAGCCTGAAGACGAAGAGGCGAGGGAGGGCCTCACCCCAGTCACGAGCACCCTCGCCCCCCCTGAGAAAATCTTCCCCCCTCCTCAGGGGCCCCTCCAAGACCACCCCTCCTCCTTTCGGGGTGTGCACACACGCGCACACACGTTTCGGGAGAGGCCCAAGGGCTGGATGCCGGAGGCGGCCGCTGCTTTCCCACCCCCTCTGGGGCCGGCACTGGGCAAGACGGGGGCTGAGCCAGAGCGCCACATCCCCCCAACCGCCCAGCCACCCGGACGTCGGACGGGGAGCGAGACAAAGCAGGGCAGGCAAAACAAAGAAACGGGCTGCGGCCCTCGAGACAGCAGCAAATTGGGGCAGCGCACGGGGGGCCGCTTTCGCGGAGGCGATCCGAGCCGCCCCCAGAGGCAAAGCTCGGCCCCCTCCCGAAGGGGCAGGGAGCGCGCCCTCGGCACCTGGCCGGGAGGGCCCAGAGGAACACGCCCCCTTCC